GCCGTCTTTGCCTAAAGTAGCACATTTGTGCTCATTTATTTACATATATTTTTAGGTTATTACTTAAACACCATTCATAAAAGCGGTTCACATCGTCTTGAAGATACATCGCATAATTTACAGAGCGTATTTTTTTTTAAATTTTCATGTCATCAGCATATATTAATACCTCACGTCAACGTGGAAGCAACTGAAATTATGAACAGCAGTAGACCTAAGTGGTTACCCTGAGCGACACCAGAATTAACCGAAAGAGGTGAAGAAATTGCTGAAGAGGACTGAGTAATTCTTACCAGAGAAATATAATTTCATCCAAGCTAAGAAGTTATCAGGGAATCCTAAAAGTTTCAATTTCAAAATAATTACGCCATGTGGTAAAATATCAAAAGCTTTGCTAAAGTCTGTGTAAATTACGTTCGTCTGATACCCATTTTCCATATTATTTGAAAAAACCGTAATGACTTCCACCAGGTTCGTCACCGTGGATTTTTTTTTCAAGAAGCCATGCTGACACCCACTAATGAATGGTAAAAAATGTTAATTAATATTGTCATATATCATCAACTCAAAAACCTTAGTAATTACCGTCAATTTTGCAATAGAACGGTAATATGCCATGCCATTTTTGTTGTCAGTGGAATAAGAAAATGATATCGGGGGATGATAGATGTCTACGTTAACCAACAGATCCGGGACAGTTATAGGTAAGCAATTATACCAATTAGAAGTAAAGATTAGATCCAGTTGCTTCGATTGATGGTTTGTTATTGAGGGTATTTACTGTAAGTTGTTTAAATGAAAGACATCTATAAAAGATAACTCCAATTCACTAGAACAGTCAATTGGAATTAAAAACGGTTTCTCATCATGAGTCATCCATTTAATTTTGGAGAGATTAAAATCTCCGAAAATAAAAACCTCATCCCCTTGGTTAAGAAAATTGCATACATAATCAATTGCCGAAGAAAATTTTGCGTATAACTCATTACTTGAGTTAGGCGGTAAATAGCAATTGACTAAGAAAAGTGTTTTAGAATTTAGCTCAATTTTAACTGCAATAATTTCAAAATCGTCGAAGTCCTAAATATCAATAATATACTAGCTGATAACGAGTTTTTAACGGCGATTAGTACCCCATCTCCATTTGGTATGTATTTCTGCAAGAAAAGTCCGAAGAAAGACAGAAAATGAAGAGTTAAATAATTAAAGATTATTAATAGAGGGGGGCAGTTATGTCAGAGATGTTATGTCACTGATTACTGAATCATCAAAATGATAATATATGCAACCCATATATTATCCAAATTAATTTATATACAGGTTGTTTCGCATAAAGTGGCATATAATTTCAGGGATGATTGTTATTCAGGGATGATTGATAATTTCAGGGACTATGATGCAAAATATTGTGTTTGTAGGGGGGTGTGCAGATATACTCGTTTTCGACCTACAGTCTGTTGAAAAAAAGGTACCGGATTTTTCCTGTATATACATAAATGTTTATAACTTCGGAACCATACAAAATAGAATTATCATTAGGAGTTTGTTTTACATACATATATATTATAAAAGGGAAACCGCTTACACATCTAATTTATTATATTAGTATACAGCCGTTAATTATAATGCTTTATTGTCATTTGTATAATATGCTTGTTTTATATTTCAGATCTTTTCACCTTTATTACATAAAATTTCATAATTTTTGTTTCAGGATTTTTATATATCATGTAATCGTATGTGTTTTTTATATATTAAGCCCCATATATTAAGCCCCATAGTCGACATAATGTAAAATCTGTTATTTTTTAAATTTTGGTTATTTTATTAATATTATCTGATTTTATATTAAAATTAGATTACTGTGTATGTATATGATATTATGCCTACAGCCTCCCCCCTATCTCTTAAGCTATATCGTTTAATGCTACTCGTATATCATGCAGTTTTCATTTAAAGTAATCAATATTTTATATAATATTTTCTCAAAATAATTCAAATAAAATAATGAAATTCAGCATTGACATAAAATAGCTTTTTTGAGTAGATTTTTTGATTGATGGAGGACAAGAATTTGTGTCATGTATATGAATTCTGTTTTTGAATTAAAAATTTTGAATTAAGTTTTTTTTTTGTTTCGTTAAATTAAAACATTTGCTAATCAATCTATCTACAGATTTTTTAATTTTTATTTTAGCAGTCCTTGCAATTGCAATGATTTTATTTACAATTGTCTTACAGTATGAAAATCTTTATGGATCTTTTCATCTGAATGTACATACTTTTTGATATTTTATGAATATGTATGTATATACTTTTATATAATATTATAAATTTAAAATAATAAATTCTTAAGGAATTTATAACAAAAAAAAACCTCTATTAAACAATTTTCAAAAGTTTGTCAAAAATAAAACAATTAAAAAAAATTAATTGTAAAGTGCCTATAGTGAGTGAATCGAAAAAAATTAATTAATATAACAAGAAAAAAGAAAAATAGAAGGAAAATAAAGTAATAAAATTGCTGCAGCATTTTGTAATAAACTTTAAAATTTTAAAAAAAGATTCCTAATCAGCAGGTAGTAAGAAAATTCATATTCGTCTTTAAATTTAGCATAATAGAAACAAACTTATCAGCAATTAGATCAATTCAGTTTTTGCTATGAAGTTTTTAAAACAGTAGAAAAAAGGTAAATTTAACATCGTTTTAAGAATTTTGTTTTGTAATTGTTGTAACTTGTTTGTCAAATATTCAACACAATCTGACTAAACCGGCGAAGCTTATAGCGCCATGTACTATCTACAGATTCCATTTTTCCTTTTTATACACTCCTTATTGAACCAAAAAATAAAAATATATATTCCGGAATTGCGGAAAATATAGTGTTAGAAAAGACTTTCGATACTAAAGTAATTCTCAATTCATATCATTCATTTGGTGAAGTCCTAGTACATATTGTCGATCAGTCAATGTGAAACTGTACCATTAATATGGAAGGAATCGGTCGTCAGGCCAATTCCGAAAAAATAGCGTCAGAAAGAACCAACTGACTCGAGGTCAATTAATATGATGCCATTATATGAAAAAATATTAAAAAAAGTTATAAGTAACCAATTTGAAAAATATCTTGAAGAAAGCAATATTTTATGTGATGAACGGAATGCTTTAAAAAGAAAACATTCACGGGAAAGGTTTTAATTTGGTCCCATATGATTGGAAGATGGCTAAAGAGAATAATTTAGTAATTTGTGCAATATTTTTAGATTTAAATACAGCATTCGAAACTGCTGATGGTGAAATTCTGCTGATGAAATTCGAAAATATGGAGTTCAAATTTTCAGTTCCTGTAAACTGATCCTGTTCGTAGATGATGAATTTATTTATGTTATTGATCGAAGTTTTGATGTATGTAGTTATCAAATAAATGACAATTTTAATAATGTATTTGAATGGTTGTGTATGAATAAGCTTAAATTAAATTTTGACAAAACCAATGTATTGTAATAAATGATGGAACTGGTGGCACAGTTGATATTCATATATAGTTGTCCAAAAGAGAAATGAAGTTCAATTAAATATTTAGAAATAATTATAGACGATAAAGGAATTTGGACAAGCTTGCTGATTACATAGCATCTAAAACTGCGAAAAAGTTGGTTATTTGGGAAGATAGAGGAACCAGATAACAGAAAAATGAGCGAAAACCACATATAATTAACAATTTTGCCTCGCTTATATTATTGTTCGTCTATATTGTTTCCTTGTGGTGAAATTAAATAAAGTTGGATCAAACCAACGGTTTTCATTTTTCCCTTCAACAAGTAAAAATACTGCTTATAAAAAAAAATAGCTTCACTATTAAAATTAATTTTATTCATATACGAAACTATTTCATTAAGGATTGCATATATTTAGAAGGAACGATTTAATCAGTCTTTCAAATAAAGCAAAAATAAGTTTAAAAAGATGTTAACATATAATGCTCGATTTTAAAGTTTAATAACGTGAGTTAAGAAAAATAATTCTATTCTTTAATGGCATCGGATTTACCGTTAGCATTCTACGTTTATAGCGTGCGTTTGAAAAAGCGTGCGGTTTCGGAAATATAACGTGACAAAAATTCAAATTTTACAAATTTCGAGAGGCAATAACTTGCGAGGGGGTGAAGTCGCAAAAAAATTTTATTCAACTGAAATGAACTATTTCTATTATTATTAGTGTCTAAAAGCTGTTAAAATTTTGAAACTTTTACAACCTGTGGTCTAAAAGAAAACCGACATCAAAAATTTTGATAAAACGGATTTTAGACAAAGGTAAATTTTAATGGCCATTTTGTTTTTTTTAAAGTTCAAATATGGTGTGACGCGGTAGATGAAGTAAGCCACTGCTTTTCTGCGTTTGCAAAATTTGAAAAATATGCTTATGGTTTAACTGCCATTTTTTGGGTTTTGACGGGGTATAAATGTTAAAGGGGGGGGTGGGGGCAGATAAGTAAAATTTCTTCTATGGAAATAAGTTTCTAGTAAATGATTTCTTCTATGGAAATAAGTTTCTAGTAAAGATCTATGTACTTATATAAAATTTCAGCTTTCTATCTTTAAGGATGTAAAAGTTTTCTAAACATGTCCACGAACAGACAGACAGAGTGAAACAAATTACATACACATTTAATATTACGTTAGAACTGAATTATCAAAAAAACAGAACTATAAAACATTGTAAAAATACATTACCGCATTTATGCTTTAATGAGCATATGTACATACATATGTGTATATTATTATGAGGTTATAATATTTATATTATTAATGAATTCTCTTATTCATCATATAATTTTGCATAAATTTAGGATGAAACTTTAAAACTGTAATTTGTTTTTGAAAAAATTTACACTACTTGAAATAAACATCTTAATCTAAAATAAAATTCTTTAAATAACTTCAAAATCATTGTGAATTCTTTTTTTTCATTTTTGTTTTTATTTTTCTTTTTGTTACAGATTCTTATTACTGTTAATATCATTTCAATTAATATTAGCTGACAATAATAATAAAAATAACATTAATAATGAATTACCCAATAATATACTGATATCAAAAATTTCTTCTAGTGAAATTATAGATAGTTCAGATAGCATTAATAATAATAATAAAAATCATAATAATAATAATGATGTTAATAAAAATAATAGTGATAATTATGTAAATAGCTATAATAGTGACAATATTAGTGATAACAATAATAAAAATAATAATAATAATAATAATAATAATAATAATATTAATAATACTAATAGTGATAATGATAGCAATAGAAATCATGTAATAACATCTGTATCATCATCGGTATCATCAGTAAGCTCATTAATACCAACATCAGCATTTGAAACATCACATAAAAAACCGAATAATTATAATTTTGAAACAGCACACAAAATACAAAATGAAAGAGAAATCATTAAAATTCAAAATAATAATAATTATCAAACAACAACAACAACACCAAAATTATTAAGAAAATCAATGGATATTGATGAACAAAATGAATCAAATGAATCAAATTTTGAAATAAAAAATAATAATAAAAATATTGATGATAAAGATGATATTAATAATAAAAATACAATGCTGTTATCATCATTAAAATCTATTAACGCAATGAATAATATTGAAAATTTCATGCAAATGCAAAAAATTAATAGTTTATTTGCAACAAAAGAAAGACCAGAGATAGATCCGGTTTTGGGTATGATAATAAATGCTGATGTTATGCAAAGTATCGAATCGAAACGTTCAAGGGAATTTAATTTTGAAAATGAAAATAAAAATAATAATAATAATAAGAAAAATAATGATAACGATAGTAATAATAATGATAGAGAGGAATTATTATCAGATACAAATAAAGAAGATGTAAAAAATGAAGACAATGCAACAATAATATCATCAAATTTAAATGAAAATGATAATAATAGAGAATCAAATGAATTTATTACAAATTTAATGAATTTACAAAATTTTGAAGGTTTAACAACGACAACAGCAGACCCAATTTCTAATATACGAAAATCGCGAATGAATGATAATAATGATGATGATGGTGATGATGCTATGCTCATTGATGATGATATTGATAATATTAAATTAAATTCTGGATTAATCAATAAATATGATAATTTGGAAGCTGCTGGTAGTGAAAACAATCAAAAACAAAAAATTCAAATAAAAAAGGGACCTGATGGCCAAGATTATGAAGTAGTCTATTATTATTATTATTATGATGATGAGGATGATGAAAATAATAAAAACAATACAATAAATAATAATAACAATAACAATAATATTAATATATCTGATAATAATAAAAAATCGAATAATATTAATGATAACAAATCAAATAAAAATCGGAATAGTAACAATAATAGTAATAGTAATAAGAAATCAACAAAAAATGATAAAAAATCGTCCCAAAATAATGATAATAGTAATGATAAAAAAGATTTATTATCATCCTCTTCTTTGTCATCACCATCTTCATCATCGTCATCAGGATCAGCACGAGGTAAATCAAGGTATACAAATATTGAACGGAATAATAATGGTATTACAAATCAAAATTCACAATTGCAAGATAATGATAAACAACAACAAAAAAGTGGACGTTCAAGTATACCAGTTACAGAAGAAGTAGATGAAGGACGTTTACCAGCAATAACACGTTTTCCTCCACGTAATAGTAAATCACATTCAATTAGTGATAATGCTCATACTGAATCGTATGAAAATAATGAAAATAATAATAACAATAATAACAATAACAATAATAACAATAATAATAATAACAGTAATAGAAAACATCATGTTAAAAGACCAAGCTTAGATTTAATTGATAGTGAAACATTTAATACTGATGATAAACAAATAAAAAATAATCGTAATAATTTAGATAATAATATAGGTGGACCGTTATCATCACCAACATCCTCAGCAGGATCATCATCATCAAATTCCCAAACTGCAAGTGTGTCAGCTGCAGCTGCCTCATCATTATTAACAAATGATTTTAATAATAAAAATGATCAAATTGATGATAATAATACCAATAATAATAAAAAATTAACAAAAATTATTAATGATGAACCAGAAAATAATAATTTAGATATTGAGAATACAACACCATTTATGGAAAAAGTTGCTTTTGATTTATATGCAATATTAGCAAATGAAAATTTAAATTCTGATACAACAACCGATGATACTAATTCCTTATATAACAACAATAATAATGATAATATTAATATAACAGATAATAATAATGATATTACAACAATAAATCCGAATTTAAATAATGAAGAAAATAATAACTATGATGATAGCAATAACAATAATTATAATAATGATGAAGATGATGATGATATTGATGATGATTCAATTTTAACAACAACCGAAGAATATACAACAATAAAAATACAAAAATTACTAACATCTACAACTACAACAACGACAACTACTACAACACCAAAACCTACAACAACGACCACGACAACAACACCTGCACCGTCAACATCATTATTAAGTGGTAGACGTGGCATATCAAATGTTGGACGTAATCGTTTTCGTTTGAATAAAAATGGCAATAGTGGATCAGTAACAACGGCAGGAACAACTGAATCATCACAAGTTTCATCAGAACCGGAACGTAAACTACCTAAAAATAAAAGTAAGCGCTTTTTCCATTGTCCATTTTTTTTTTATACTTGACTACACACTTGTATTAACATTACAAGTATTAACATATTTTATATTTATCAGATCGTTTTGAACGTCCATCATTCGGTGGCAAAACGAGAACCTTAAGTACAACAGAATCATCAGCTGTTAAAGAAGATATAATTCCTAAAGAACAAAGTAAGCAAAACCACTTATCTGTTGGATCTAAAGGAAGAAGTAAGTAACTATGAGAACTTTTTTTTTGTACTTACCTTACATTTATGTATAATCCAAAAATATTATTATAAAATTTAACAACAAAATATTCTTTAATTGTTTTTACTAATATAGCGCGTAATCGTTTTACATTAAGAGGTTCAACAACATCAACAACTGAACGTAATAATGTTGAAGATAATAAATCAAACGACAATACAATTTCAAGTACAACAACAATAAGAGGATTACGTGCACGTCCAACATTAAATTTACGTGGTAGATCCAAACTTGGTGGTAGTTCAGCAAATACGTTAAATTCAACACCATCATCATCATCTACTACAGTTGATACAAAATCTAATTTATCAACAGATGAAAATATTGAAAATAATAAATCAGATGACAATAATAAAATACAATTGAATAATAATAATGGTAATTTACCAACAAGACCATCAAGATTTAATTTAAATAGAGCTGGAAACAAAAGATTACCCCCAATAGCAAGAGGTCGTTTAGCAAATACAACATTACAAAAGCAAATACCATCATCAATATCTACAGCAAATAATAATGATGATGAAGATGATAATAATAATAATAATAATAATAATAATAATAATAATAATAATAACAATGAAAATTCAAACTCAATAAATAACAACAACAATAATAATAATAATGAAGAAATAAATAATGATAGTACAACTGTCGCAACATTAAGTGGTATTAATCGATTAAAAAATCGTCCTCGTATTCAAATACAAAATACTTCAAATAAATCAAAATCATCAACATCACAATTACAAAAAAATCGTAAAGTAAATCCATTAATTGCTAGAAGAAAATTACAAATTGGTGGAATTGGTGTTACACAATCAACAGGTAAAATTAATTAACTTTCATCAAATTGATTTCCATTTTATAATAACGTAGGTGAAAAGTTTTTTCAAATCCGTCTCACTAAAAGTGAAACTTAAGACTTTTAAGGTTTTAGACTCTACTACCTACTCATGTAAAATTCTTGAAATATGTACCTACTTTATAAAATTTAGCACTTCATATTACGAACGAATACGGATAAATGTAATTGTAAAACTTGCGTTCCATTTTAACTTTCTTTTACAATTTGGTAAAATATTTTACGCATACTTCCGAAATAACTACATACAACTTCATATTTCGTGCGTTTAAAATAAAACTGTTTGATATCCATTATTTCGGAACTAATCTAAAGTAACCATACCACATTTATCTAGTGTAGGACAAAGATTAAAATAATTTACAGAATAATTCGAATTTATAACGATAATTTAAAAGAAAAAACTCTTATTCCGAAATTTTTCAATTTTGTTTTTACTGTTTTTCTTGTAGAGGCATCGGTAGCAGCTGATTCAGAGAACTCAGACAGTGCAGATTTATTAAATTCTGCTGGTGAAAATAAAAAAGATGACTCTGGAAAAATATCAGATGAATCAATTGTTAATGATGAATTAACTGAAGCAACGGTTATTGAGCCATCATCAGAGCAACCAAGGGGACTAAGTTTTTTAAGTCAAAGAAAGCGGTTGCCCCTTAGAAAGCCAGGAACAATTCTCTAGTATATAGGAATTCAAATATAATTTTTTTTATTGTAATTGTATTTTTTGCTTAAGACTTTGTAGAAAAAAATTTAATTTTTTTTATTTTTTCAATTTTTTACTTTTTTTTTTGTTTGTAAAATTTTATTTTTAATTTTTAAATTTTTCTTATTTCTAATTTTAAAAAAAATTTTTGAAAAAACATGAATAAATATAGAAAAAAACTTGCTTATTTTCAAATTTCAACAGTTTTAAGTTTTTTCAACTTACTTTCATGTCCTTGCAAGTCCAAGACTTTAACCAAAGTATATCTATAAAGAAGTAGTTCGAGTCGTTCCATTCCGTTCTTTTTCGTTTGCTTGCCACCAAAGTATATCTACTAATAAGTAATTCGACTCGTTCCATTCCGTTAGTTTTCATTTGCATCTTGCTTCCAAATTCTTAAAATATTCCATTTTTTTTTAGAAATAGATGGTAATAAGAGTTGTGTAGGCAAGAAAGAAACAAAATATTGTAAACAAACGAGTGTGTCAAAAACATCATGTTAATAATAATTTGAAATTTATAATAGCTAAACGCCGTTTTCGGGTTTTTAAACTAACACAGTAAAAATGCAGCTTGAGTATCGAGCTGATTTCATGTCAAGTACTCTTTCACGTCAAGTTGGAATGTAGACAAGATACAGAAATAAAGCAATTTATAAAAAAAAATAGGAAATATTTGTTTTAAATTTTTAAAAACAAAATTGAAATAAAAATAAAAAAATCATAGTTTATATTTATTACAATAAATGTAATGACAATTACTAACTGAAAATTTTAAGTTTTTTTTTAATATTATTTGTTTTTTTCAAATTGTATACATATAAATTATAATATTTTTCCTTTATTTTAATAGTCGAATTTTGTTTTTAAATCGCTTCGTTTTTATAATACGGATACACCATTTCTGCCCCCTTATATGAAATAAATTACAGAATTGAAATTCCTGCTTTCAAAATTCTTAATATTTTTTCCTATACTTTATATACGGAAAAATAAATAAGTACCGCTTCCAAAAATACATTCTAAAAAAAACAGGTAGACAAAAATTCTTATGTGTATAAAAATGAAAATAAGAAGGTTTACTGCTTTACTCTTTTATCTAAAGGAATTTTTTGTAAACGGAGAGTCGAAGAGTCGAACTACTTCTTTATAGATAACTTTAATGTTCAAATTTTAAGTATCCAACACTTTTTTCGTTAGCACAATTACATATATATGTATGTATATTTTTGTTTCAAAGAGGTAATAAAGAAAAATTCGTTCTTTTAAGATAAAAATCACAACAATAAAAAAAAAATTTAATTTTGGGCTTTTTTGGTATTTCATAATGCGCTGCAAGTTCTTTATCAGAACTAAAAAAAGCTTTTTTACAATATTTGAAGTACTACAAAGTTTTGCGATGGATTTTGTATGATCCACAAGTATAACAATTTTAAATAAAGAATTAAAAAGAAATTGATCGCGAATTTATTTAAAATTTGCTGAAAAGGCAATTATTTCAAGGCATAAATAAAAATTTGGATGACAGAGGTTTAGAAAAATACGTACAAAACAGAAAAAAATCGAAAACTAGTGACAACATTAATAATGTATTACAATAATAAAAGGTGAATTCCCAAAATTCAAAATTATTTCAACATTATTGAACTATTCGCAGATGACATATTTTTTTCATATTTTTGCACAAATCGAAAAAAAAAAAGATAAATTTCAAATTAACTTAAAGCTTTAAACAATTTACTTACTCTTTAATGTCCGACATTTTTATGTTAAAAATCACTTTTGCAATTAAAATTTTTAAACCACTCATATGCTAAAGCTTTTTTACATGAGCATGAGCTACAGAACATGCTGCAAAACAATACTTCAAAATCGAACACTACAAATTTGTAGTTCTTAAACAAGAAACATGCTGCATGTCAAATCTAACTAAGAACTGAAATACCGAAAAAGTCCCTTTTTTTCATATTGAACGCTCAAACCTTGAAATAACGCAAAAAAGGATTTTTTCATATTGAAGGCTCAAACCTTGGAATAACGCAAAAAAAATTTTTTTTAACTGGAATAACCCGAGTCATTTAAATAAATGTCAATTAAAAAGAGTTGGCAAATAATAAAAATTATAATTACTCCCTATTTTTATTAGATTTGCTGTCAAATTTTTCGAAAATAAAATAGCGAACTATTTGTTGCATAATACAAAATTTTCAATATACTGCGCTGTTTACATTGCTTCAAAACTACCATAACGAAAATCGGACGAGACGTCGCAAAATGACGTTGCCGCAATTTTTTTTACATTGGCAGCGACAACGACATTTAATCAAAAACAACCTAAAATAGTAGTATAATAATTCTTCCAATTTCTTTTCCGTTGGTTTTTCCATTATTTTTTTGCGTTTTTTTCTAATTTTTCTTTTAAAATTGTTATATAATAACTGTTTCTTTCGCAATTTTTATTTCCAAAATAAAAATGACATTTCTAATCTAATTGTCATCATATGTTCCAGCGGCAAATAGTCAATTTTCCGAAATTCTGCAACTTACTATGCCGCATGCCGCCACAATATTAGGCAGGTTACCTAATTTAAATCATTGGATTTAATATTTTTGCACTTCGTTCAACTGTCGCTTTCGCAGCGTCACACTAATGCGAAGAATATAATACAAAATTTTTTGTATATTTAAAATTAAACCATTTTTTTAAGGAAATGTAACGTATCAAAAATTTTCAAATCATGCAAATTTTGCTTGATATGCAAGTATATAAGTATATTGCAATATACAATATAAGTGATGATTAAGTGGATCCAGAGTATTTTCTATGCGAATGTAAAAATTATATAGATGAAATGCAATTTATTAGTACTCGTATATTTGCAATATGACGTACTTATATATGGATCGTAAAAAACTTTACTTATTAACATCTTTCTTCATCATTTTGTACTTTTAATAATAAAAATTGAATTTTTTTTCTTCTTATGGCAACTCTGTTGGTGACGTTTACTTTGACTAACAACTGACAGCACAATACATGCAACACAACGTTTGAACTTAATTCACTACTTTATTCCCAGCAAGAAAATTTTAGATTTTAGGTGATATCACTTAGATATCCTTGCTATTTTATATTATCTGTATGAAATCTTGGCGACGCAGTTCAAAATTATCTCACAAAGAAGGTTCAATCAAAATTTATATCGCTTTTTGAAGCGATATAAATTTGAAACCGTTTGAAGAGAAATTAGAACATGCTGCGCATTGATGTCTTCTAACTGTCAAAAGTGCGATATAATGTACATATTTTTTCCGCCCGACGATATGAAAACGATATTACATATGAATTTATATATCATCATTCTTATGCTAAAGTGAAAGGACAAAGAATGTGAAATTTGTAGTATTTAAAAATTCTTAAATATTAAAGAATATTTTAAAAAGGTAAGGCAAAAATTAATCAGAGTTGATAACATCAAAAATTAAAAAAAAATGTAAGCTATATAAAAGAGCGATACACATATAGATATCATATTTTTATCTTTAAAAAGGTACAAACGCAAATATTTTTTTATTAATTCTTAAATATCGGTATGAAATTGAAAAAAAAATATCACAAGCTAGCTAGAATTTGAAAATAAAAAATTTCTACATTTATTTTGAGTCTCTACCAGATATGAGGTATATTTGTATTACCAACTTAATTAAAATTTCTTAGGTGTTTGCGAAAAAATTTTGCCAATTGGAAATAAAGCCGTATGGACCAGATCATACAGCAATATTTTTTGCACGTTGGAAACCGAATGAGAGAATAAAATAAATAATAAAAAAAAGGTGTAAAGTAACAAACAATGTGTAGCATTTTTATATGAAGTACTATTGTTTTGTAAATCTTTCTTTTAATGTATAATCGCAAAGAAGGATGAAATTTTTTAATCAAAGAGCAATTAAATACATCACTACTTTGATGTGATCAAATAATTCTTTACTCTCAATATACATTGCACATTATTGATGATAATACAAATTATATTCTCGCATTATGTAATGATTTATAAAATTACTCTTTGACTTCACACAATTCTTAGCAATTGCGTTGAAACGATAAAAATACGATATCGCTTGTTTAACTCCTGTAAGATATATAGACTCCATTTAATCTTTTTTGAACGATAAGAAAACGCTTTTGCTTCAAGATGTAAAAAAGAAAAAACAAATTTTTGTCTTTTATGCGATAATATCTTACACGATAAATAGACGATTCAACGGATTTTGAATTCAGTCATTTAATTTTAATTCGGTCATTCAACTTCGCTATATTATCTTCTAGGAGAATCGCTTACGGGAACCATTTGTTACCGACATTTGTATCGTGGAGCATAATGATATCTTCCAAGACCAATCGAATCAGTATCGCGTAGAATTTAAAAACCTTTAAATATTGTACTTTTCCTTAAATGTTTTCTCTATGACGAAAATGGCTCTTGATGATAAAAAGGTCGAACGTTGAAAGTTTTATTAGATTGAGATTAACATAAATTTCGGTGGTTGAGATCATAAAAAAATTTTCTTTCAAATTCACCCGAATTTCTTCCTAATGACATCACATTTTCAAACGTCAATATTATCTACCAGACTTTTCAAAATAAAAGTTTCAATCATAGTTTTAAAGCGAAACTATGACTTTGATGAAAATTGTGAATTAAATGTGAAAACTGTACTGTGTTTTTATTTTTAACATTTTATCAGGGACGGTTCTTTTTCTATCGTTGATCATAAAATATGACATAAGAATGAAATGTGTCAATAAAAAAAAATGAGCAAAGTGGAAACACTTCAAATGTGAAAAAAACAATTTAAAAAACTTCATATGAATAATAAATAAGTCTGAGAAAAAACTTTAAAAAGAGAAACGATGACGTAATTTCTCGCAAAAAGAAAAAAATTCTCATTTAAAAAAATATAAACCGAGAAAAACTTCCAAAAATCGAAAATTTAGAAAAAAACCATTTTTTCCTTACTATATTTTTAATTGAAAAGTTTTTAAAAAAAATTATTGTTAATGAAATTTTTTTTTAAAAATAAAACCTTCAGGCATAACGCATTGAGAAAATGAAAACGTCATTATTTTCTCTCATTTTTGTTCAAAAAGTATTATCCCAGACAAGCATGCAAAAACTTTATAAAATTGTTTAAAGGTATTTAAAAACTTTCTTATACCAGACTGACCTAATATGCAAAGAAGAAAAACACTAAACGCATTTGTCAAATGAAATGAATAAAATAATATAAAGAGTATGTGTACGTCTCCGAATAAATTATGTACATAATTAGCGTTCCCACTTGGATACAATTGTATCCATTTGGTTACATTTTTGCTTTAAATTTAGTATGGATACAAAGATACTCAAATCTGCTAAAATAGCGCAATTTACTACTTTGAAAATATTTCTGAAATATTGATACTTTTCTTTCTCAAACACTAAATAAATACTACAAAACAGTTAAAGTGATGCCAATATTAAATCGCGAAATTACTTTATTTAAAAAAAAAAACGTTATTTTCAGCCTTTGCTAAGCAGATTTCCAATTTTTTCAGAAAAAATTAAGAAAAATACTATATTAAATTGGTGCCAACCTTCTTGTATTCAAATCTAGAACTTTTAGACAAGAACATACCGAAAACATATTGGTGTAACCTAGGTGTAGTAGAAAATGCATCGGCTGCACATATTAAAATTTTCATGGTAAATCGTTTTACCGCAGCTACAGCTAGCTTCGTATTTTTTCTGACCTTAACTTTTACAATTAAAATACAATAGAAGTTTTATGTTATTTATTAAAGAACTTACTATGAATAATAAAACTCACATTGCAGAATGAAGTAAATTTATATTAATCATGTTTCAATTTGTACAAAATAAGACGACTTAGTTTAATAATTCTACTTTACGAGGCTAGATACATTTTTGATACATTTTTTTCTTGAAATCTAATACATTTTGTTTTCACCGAGTGGGAACACTGATGTGGAAGCTTACGGAGCAATAATAATATTATGTTATCTCTTCATTTATATATGCATTTGTATGTAGTTAAAATAAATATATTTTTTTTGTGTTGTGTGTAGAGAAAGAATTCGAATTTGACAAAAAAAAAGTTAACACAAGAAATGGAGTTTCTCGTTTTCTTTATTTTTTTTCATTATTTTTAATGTGCATCTTGTGTAAATTAAATTGTAAAGAAAATAAAATAAAAGTGCTAATTCCAGAAATAATTAAAAATGAGTGAAACTTGAAAATATTTGAAAAAGAAAAAGAATTTTAGTGAAAAAAAATTCCATATAAAAAATGAGTTAGTTAAGAATTTAATAAAAAAAAACTAAAGAAAAAGAAGAAGCAAAAAAAAAATTCTCATTTTGAAGAGATTTTTTTTTATAACACCAACAAACCAACAACAATCTTTGGTTTTTAACCAATACACAAATTTTTTTTCTTTTCTTAAAATTCGTAAGAAAGCCATATTTGTTTTGTGCACTTTTGTTGTTTTTGTGCTCTTGTTATTTTTTTTTGTTTTCAAATTAAAATTCCACAAAAAATTTTAATATTTTTGTATGAAATTTCACGAAATTATTGGCGAACGAAGAAAAAGTGTTTAATCAAAAAAAAAATAACACGATTTTTTAATTTTAATTGGAAATTTTAGAAAAATGAAAAACACAAACCAAAAAGAAAAGAGCAAAAGCAAATTTTTTTATTTTATTTTTTAATTTAATAAGAAAACTTTCTTTTTATATTTTATAAAGAAAGAAAGAAAGAAAAAAGTGTAATACGACAGGAATAATAAGTAGAAAAACAAGAAGAAAAAAAAAGAGTGTATCTTCTCGCATATTACACACATACACATAAAATTGCATTCGTCTCTCGCCGCTGAGGAGGACAGTCAGTGTTTTGCTAACATCCAGTATCAAAATAATAATAACAACAACAACAATATGTAAAATAAAAATAAAAAAGGAATATGTAGGAAGGTAGCTAAATTAATTACTTACATCCTTTATAGTAGTTAAATATAAAATAATTAATTATTGGAAAAAAATATAAATTTTAAATTTGACAAAAATTGGAGAATAAATAAAAAAAAGCATTTTCTCAAAAAGAAAAGAATAGGGTCCTGCCCCCTTCCTTTTCAAAATTTAATTGTAATTTTTAGAAAAAATTCTTTTCATAATTTTCCTTGAGTAGTAGGTATCTAACCTACATTAATGTATTTTTATTAATGTACTTAAAATTTACACCTACAAAATATGAAGTTAATATATTCTTAAATTTTTATTGGTTATCTTTACTGATTACTTATCATTTTAATTATTATTATTATTATTATTATTATTATTATTATTATTATTGTTATTATTATTAAATACTATTGTTATTATTATTAATATTTATTTTGAACATCTGAAAAATTTATAATAAATATTATATACAGCAATTGGTACAAATTATAAAAACTGATTAAACACTATTCTAATAGTATTATGGTGTTATATTGTGCCCCAACAATAATAATGCAATAACTCAAAATTAGTTAAATGTTTTATATATATACTTACAGTTGTGCGATGTTGTTGAAAGAAAAAAAAAAATTAATATTTATTAATTTTTTTTTTGTGTTTTTACTCCCAGTCCCATGCACTGTATCATTTGTATTTCGATAACCAATTTTCTGAGTTCAGTTTCACACCATTTTATATTTACAAAGTGTTAAATGTTTCTTTAAAATCTACTTTTTTTTTTTGCTTTTTTCACTGATTTATTTAGAGGTAATCCTATTAACTAATTTTCTTTATATACATATGTATAAAATATAGATTATTTAAATAGTAGTGTTCCATATATCACTTCTTTTTGCCTATAAATCACATACAAACTATTAGTTTGAATGCCTCTGAATAATTTCGTACCCTAAAAATACATTATATTAAAAAAGAAGAGCTCCCAGATTAACTTGAAAATAAAATAAATTTTATTTTATATTTGAATATTTTATCGAATATTCAAATTTCATAATTTTTTAAAACTCGTTTCAAGAGGACATTCTTTACTTGTGATTCAGATTTTCTTAATAACCCGAAAATTAATTATAAAATAAATTTCATTATATTTGAAAAAAAATAAAAAAATGTTTAACGTATTATTATTTTAAATATTTAATTTCAGCATTATACTTTGTGTTGCTCCTAGAATTTTGCTCTCTATAGATTTTGTATCAAAAAAAAAAAAAAAAGTAACTTTAAAACTCAAAACTCAAAACAAAAATTTCGGAGGGATACAATGATACGAAGGTAATAATTAATAAAAAATTTATTAATTAAAAAATATTAAATTTCAAAAGCAATTAAGTATGTATCTTAAAAAAACAAATATAAAAATATCAACATACAATTTACAATAATTCACCTATTTTACAATAATATTTTGCAAAATAATATTTTATAATATTGTTTAGCAAAATAGTGTTTAATCTTGTTTTTGCGATAATAACTTTTATTTACATTTTTACTTACATTTTTATTTACATTTTTATTTTTAGCAGAAAGCAATGAATAGATATCGATGTTCTCATTTCGAAAAGGGAATTTTGCTAATTTTTAATAGCGGTTACATTGTATATCTTATGAAAAGGACATTAGTTTTTGTGGCTTTCATGTTTTTGATATTGCTGCCAAATACATCGATTACCGCTGGTAGGTTAAATTGCATATATAAGTGAGTTTCAAGATATTTCAGTAAAAATAGTGTAATAAAAACTCATTTATTACACCTTTTCCTCAAATTATAACGAAATCCGTATTTACTTACTAAAAAATAAGTAAGTAGATACGAGACACAATTTACTTGCATTTTATTTCAAGACTTTGCTCAAGTTTTGAAATAAGTAAATATTGAAAAAAAAACATAATTGTTGTTTTTTTTTTTTTATTTTTCATGTTGTGTTTCCTGTGAAATAGCAACAAAATATGAAACGGCATATGCTTGCGAAGGTAAAACTCTTGTAGTAGAATGTGAACCCGGAGACGTAATCAATTTAATAAGAGCAAATTATGGTAGATTTTCAATTACGATATGTAACGATCATGGTAATGTAGAATGGAGTGTAAATTGTAGATCAGCGAAAAGTCTAAGAGTATTAAATTTAAAGTTAGTTACAAAAATTAAACAATCTTTGTGAATATGCTTATTAAGTAACGTGAAATTTCTTTTTAGATGCGGTTATAAGCAAAGTTGTAGTGTATTAGCTAGTACTAATATGTTTGGTGATCCATGTCCTGGTACACACAAATATTTGGAAGCACATTATCAATGTATATCAGCTGCATTGACATTAACAACCACAACCCGTCCACCACCATCTTGGTTAATAACACAACAATTACCACCATCTGTAAATAATAATAACACAGCTTTACTAACGATACCAGCCACAACTTCATCTATATCATCAGCATCATTATCTAGTAATAATGACTTTTTAGAAAATATTGGATATGATAATATAACTAAAAGTATGATTGAATCAACATCTTCGATAACATCATTTGAAGATGATAGCAGTAGTGAAATGCAATTCCCTAGCAGACCATCAAGTAAAAAATATTTTTATTAACATAACAAGAATTTAATTTTAATTTTGCATTTGTTAATAATTTTAAGGTGAAACCGATTTTAAATTACAATTTAATGTTACTGATCTTGATTTCAATGATAATATCAAACAAAGTAAGTTTTTTTTTCGATAATTTATAAATTTTGGATTTGATAAACTCGCCAATTTTCGTTTTAATGTTTGTTTTTTTTAGCTAACATAAATAACAGTAAGCCATTACAAACATTCAGAATGCAAAACCATCAAATCAGTAGTAGTAGTAATAATAGTTATCAAATTAGTAACAACAATAACATCAATAAGAATAATAATAATAATTACAACAAAAATAATAACGGAAACAAGAGTAGCGTAACGAGCTATATTAATAATAACAATGATAAAAATAATTATACTAATATAAAAAGTAATATTAATAACGAAAATAAAAATATTAATAACAATAATAACCAAATTTTAAATATCAAATATGATGACAAAAGTAATGGTAATAAAACAGTTAACAGCAATAACAATTTTATAAATAATAGTGACATTTTTGATGTAAAAAATAATATCGAATACAATAATAGCAAAAATAATACCAGAAGTAATAGCATAACTAATAATAACAAAAATACAAATATTACAATCAATAATAGTGAGGATAATAGAAAATTTAATAGTAGTATAGGCTATATTAGTAATGAAAATATATTAAATGGTAATATAAATAACTATGCTGAAAATTATAACAATTATAATAAAAATAATATTAGTACAAATAATAGTAAAACGAATACTGATAATAATCATCAAAGTATTAATATTAATAATATCAATGTTAAGAATTACGGAAATAAAAATTTAAATGCAAATTTGAGTGTTATCGATAATATACATAATGATACTAAATTGAATAACCATAATATTCATAATAAATACGAAAACAAAAATAATGGAGGTAGTGTTAGTAGCCATGTTGTTAAAAATAATATTCATCATATTATTGATAACAATAATACGACGGGCAAAATAAATAATTCTGGTAATAAAAATAATAATAATAATAGTAATATTTATATTCCTATTATAAATACTAATATAAATATAACTAATAATAATCTACATCAGAATAATAATGATGATAAATATAATAATAATACTTACATACATTTACATAGTAATAATAACAATTTAACTGATAATAAAATAGAAAAGGGTATTACTTATGGTAATACTAGAAATAATAATTTTAATAATAATAATAATGATAATAAAAGTATAATCAAAATAATGGATGATAATAGTAGTGGTTATAATACTAATAATAATAATAATAATATAAATAGCAATAAAGATCAAATAAATTATAGTAGTTTTAATAATAATAATGATATTGATAATAAAAGTAATAATTATGATAATAATTATATTAAAAATAAAATAATTGATTACGAAAATTTTGTTAATATTAATATAAGTAATATTAGTAATAATTCATATTGTGGCCCAACAACATCACGTAATTTATTTTGGAATAAAACTAGAGTTGGTGAAATTAATGTGCAGCAATGTCCCGGTAATGAAAATATATAAATATCAATAGCGCTATTCTAGACGCGATAATGAAAGGATCGTTTACTTACAAATTTCAGAAATTATAGTATTCAGATAGTTTTTTGTATTGAAATATTAATCCCTTATTCAGAATTTCTTTTGCATTACGATTACCTCTTAAAACACTTTTTTTTGAAGGACAAAAAATTCTTCTTTGACGAATCCAGTACTTTCAAAATTTCATTTTGATGATAAATTGAAAATGAAAATACATAATTAGAATTTCTCATTTTAAAATTTTTTTTTCTCTAATTAAAGCGCTAACTTTTTATTTTGAAGAAAATCTCTTAACGGATCCTAGAATAAAGCTATAAATTATTTATAACCATCATTAAGCATGAATAAATACTCTTTGAAATTAAATTTATTAAATTATTAATTTTTCTTTTCTTTTAGATGGAACTAATGGAATCGCAAAGTGGCGTTGTATAATTATACCGCGTTCTATAATGAACCTTAATCTACAATATGGTTTAACTAATTTTATAAATCGAAACTCTTTTAACAATAAAAAATTTGGTTTAAATAAAATTAAAGAAGATGTTGTAATTACCAATAAAATAAATAACGGTTATAATGTAAATATTGATGGTGATAATGATAAAAACAATACAAATAACAGTAATAATGACTATAATGGTATAAATATTATTAATAATACGAAATCTATTTATGAAAATGATAGCATGAGTATAATTAATAATATAAATAATAATAATAACTATAGCACAGCGAATATAAATAGTAATAATTATATGGGTAAAAATAGTAACGCAAGTAAAAGAATAATAAACGATTTTATATATAATAATATAAATTATAATGATACAATTAATAATGATAATAAGAGTAGTGGAAAACAAAATATAAGCAACAATAATAGTATTAATAATGATAGTATAATAAATGATATTCCTAATATTAAAAATAATGATAATATTAATAGTAATGGCAATATTAATATTAATAAAAATTTTAACGATTTAATTGACATTAATAAGTTAAATTTTGAAAAAGATTTCTTACCAATATGGTATCCGCAAACACCAGATTTAACACAGTGTCGTAGCGTATGGTTTAGTAATTTAGAAAATGATGTTATTAAACAAGATTCCTCATTAGTATCAATTGCAAATGATTTATCAACAGTAACTAGTAGTAAAGTATTATACGGTGGTGATATGTTAGTTACAACAAAAATAATACAAACAATGTCTGAAAAAATGCCATATGATATCGAAACATTCCCAGATCAAAGACAGCGTGAAGAAATGATGTCAGAATTATTAACTGGTGTAGTTAAGATTGGTTCCAATTTACTAGATAAATCACAGCAACCGTCTTGGTTAGATTTAAGTCATGAAGATCAAATGCGTGTTGCAACATCATTGTTAACTGGTTTAGAAAGTAATGCATTTTTATTAGCTGATTCAATAACACGTGAAAAAACTGCAACATATTCAACAAAAAATATATGTGAGCGTTTTGTTATATTATTATTGTTTAATCATTTAATGTTCTTCTTTTCTTTATTTTTATTTCCCTTAATGATAGTATTATCTGTTCGTGTATTGGATTCAAAAAACTTAAAAACTAATGAGATATTTCCAAATTATGAAAATGCTGAGAATTGGGATATAAGTCACGACCAAATTGAATTGCCGCGTGGTGCTCTATATGAAAATAGAGATGGTGGCTTAGTAAGAATAATATTTGTTGCTTTTGATCGTTTAGAAACTATTTTAAGGCCTTCTTATGAGAATTTAGTTTATAAAATTCCTAGAAATAATGGTAAGTGTTATATTTCAAAAATTTTATTTGTTTTCAATAATTAAACGTTCATAATATTTGTAAATTATCTTTAATATATTCTAATATAAAGGTAAAAACCTGATTGAACAAATTGAAACGCATGATTTGATTCAACGTGTTCAAATATTAAATAGTAAAGTTATATCAGCTAGTTTAGGTAAAGGACGTCATATACAATTATCGCAACCAATTAAATTAGTATTAAAACATTTGAAAACTAAAAATGTTGTAAATCCAACATGCGTTTTTTGGAATTATATTGATCAGTACGTATTTTATATAATATATTTTTAAAATATAAATTGTCATAAACAAAATAAAAATATTTTTTTTTATTAATTGTAAAGCGCTTGGTCATCTGAAGGATGTTATTTAGAATCTACAAATCGTACTCATAGTATATGTATGTGCAATCATTTAACAAATTTTGCTATTTTAATGGATGTTAAACAAGATCCCAAAAAAACATCTGTATCAATTTTCGATAATAACTTAGGAATTTTTATATATATAAGTATTACAATATGTGTTATATTTATAATGATTGCAATTTTAACATTGAAATTATTTAACGGAGCATTTATTAAGGTATTAAAAACAAAATCATTATAAATTTATTTTAATTTTGAAAAATTTTTTAGTCTACTCGTACATCTATTTATAAAAATATATACGTATGCCTGTTCATGATTGAAATTTTATGTTTGGTTGGAGTTAAACAAAGCGAACAAAGCTTATTATGTGGATTTGCGACTGCATTTTTACATTGTTTCATTTTATCAACAATTGCATGGTTATTTTTTGAAGGTATTTAAAAAAGAAAGAAAAAACCATATTTCAATACAAATTAAAAATTTTTCCTATTTTCAAAGGTTTTCAACTATATATTACACTTACAACTGAGAATGTACTCTTAGAAATTGAAAATTCGTCAAAAATTATATGGTATTACTTATTTTCATATGGGCTTTCATTTACTATTGTTGCAATATCATTGGCGATTGATCCTGGAACATATACACAAAGTGATTTTTGTTGTCTAATGGAAGTAAATGGTTTATTTTATGCAACCTTTATGACACCAATTATAATATTTGTTATAGTAAGATCTATATATTTTTTGTATTTATATTGTACTAATGCAATTTATTAAATATTTCTATTATTACAATTTAAAATTTTAATATTGTTTTCAAAATGTTTGTAACGTATTAATTATGTTTCAATTATTTTTTTTTTTAAGGGGGCGGTAACTTGCACAGGATTAGCTTGCTATGATATTTGTAAAAAAAACCTATCCTCAATTAAAAATAAAGAACATACCCGTCTTTCCACTATCAGGTAAAAATCACATGATTCATATTATTATTTTTATTATTTTATTATTACATATTAATTTAAAAAACATAAAAATTAAAAAGAAAAACTCGTACCATGATTTCATGAGTTATTCAATTATCTAGACAATCAAATTCTCAACTCATCCTTTACTAATAGTAGAATCAAAAAATCAAAAATTGCCATAATCTTGATGATAAAAATAAAATTAAAGCGCAATTTGAATTCAAACCTGTAATCAAGAATAGGCCCAAAATTATTTGAATAACTTACACATCCACTTAAGTAACCTTTGATCAAAGTTATATTCATGCCTTAATTCGGAAAGTTCATTCTCTTGCGCAAAACTCAAAAACTAATATTTGTGTACATTAAGCTTTAACTTAATAAATTAAATATTTATTTAATTACAATATAATTTAAATTAAATATTTTTGCTTTAAATATAATTTTTATTTGATTTTCACAGATTCGATTTACGTTGCTCTATACTTTTTTTAATTATATTGTCAGCTGATTGGGTATTTGCATATCTGTATTTAAGAAGAGCTAAGGAAGATGAATTAATTGTGCATACTTATGGATATTTATTTGTTGTATTTAATTCGTTGCTTGGAATTTATATATTCATTTTTCATTGTATTCAAAATGAAAAGGTAAATTTTAAAAAGTTATAAATTCTTAAAATTTTGTTAGGTTTCTTGCACTTGAACTTACAAACTTAATGTTATGTTATTGTTCACAATATATAAAAATTTTTTTTTACAATTACAAGTACAATTTATTCTTACTTTTCTAACTTTTCTAGATTTATTAAACGTTAAACTATTTTTTTTAATTTATATAATATATACATAGATACGTCAAGAATATCGGAAATATATACGTCAAAATTCATGGTTACCCAAATGTTTACGATACTCGAAAACTTCATCAATAACATCATCTGCTTCACAAAATAGAAATTCACATCATTATCATCATCATCAACATCATATTAACACAAATCAATCACAGTTGCAACAACAACAACAACATTCGAATCAACGGGAACAACAGCAACAGGAAAATTTGGAGCAACAGAATATTCGTCACTTTAAGACATCTCCAAGTATTTTAAATCAAAAAAATATTATAATAACAAATTCCGGTAATATAGATTGTGAGGACAATAATATTATAAAACAAAATATCGAAGCTAATATCAATGATGTGAAAACTAATGGATTAGAAATTAATGGAAAATATATTACGCCAAATGATTATGAAACGAATATAATTGATCACTCACAAATGTCAGCAACAAAATGTAATATAAATGATACAGCAATAACTGCAATACGTGATGTTAAGTCAGATAAAAATTCATCTAATTTCATAACTTTTAGTTCATTAAAAGGTAATTTAAAGAACATTTCAAATAACTTAAAATAATAATTAAATTTTAAAAAGCATTTGAATACAGTTTGAAATCAGTAGAAAGGACAAGTTTTCAGATCCTAAACATAATCGAATATTGTCCATGCTTTCAAACGTTATTAATCAAAGTTAACGTTCAATGCTTTCCAAACGTTATTTAATTTTTTTTAATACACAAATATTTAAATAATTATAAATGATATTTTGTAATATTAACACTAACCAAATTTTTTAGGTAACATTATGACTGGTACATTAAGTGACAGTCATGTGTCTCCAGCACCATCATTTAGTTCTGAAGATTTAACATTTAACGCAAAGCATTATCAACAACAACACTATCATCAACCGCAACAGTCACACTTGAATAAAGGTTATAATTATTCATTACGTCATCCAGTTGAAAAAAATGAAAATAATAAATTTGTAAATAATTATGATGAAAAATTTTTATTTTATGATTGTAAATCAAAACGTTTAAGACAGCATCATCCAACATCAACAACTCCAAGAAATTTATTACAACAAAATAAAAGAAACTCCTACAGTGATATATATAAAAGTTCAATATTTATGAGTGATAATGCAGCAATAAATAATGATGAAATCCTAATGAATGAAAATTTTTCAAATCAGCAGGAACATCAGGAACAACCACAAGAATATTTTTTTTGGATGACAAAAAATCATAGACATGAACAATCAAGTAGTCGTAAACCAATAAATAATATAAGTGATTTAAATAAAAGTTATCATAATTTTTATCCGTCTTATAAAAAAACTAGGCAACAACAACAGCAACAAAAACAATTGTATAAAACGATCAATAGTGATAAACATTCTTCTTCTAGTAATATATTAGATGATAAAGATTTCAAATCAGTGGACAATGATACAAATCTATTATATAAAAATAATTCCAATTATAATACTAGCAGTAGTAATAATAAAAATTACTATAGTAGAAATACTGATGTTTTCAATCAATATCAAAAGAATCCGTCATCATCATCATCTATATTGCCCAATAGAACATCGAAATTATCATCAAATGATGATGAATATTTTAGTAATGATTCATCAATTTTATCTCATCAACAATTAATGTATCAAAATGATGACAGATGCAGTAATAGTGCTAATAATAGCGAAATTATTAGCAATAATAGCGGATATTTTCAACCAATGTTAGTGCAAGCAAATTGCAATAATACAAGCGATAATATCGCTGTTGCGAGTTGCAGTAGTAGTAGCATCGATGGCGATATTACAAGTGGTATACCAAAAAATGATGATAGCGGAAATATTAATCATTCTCGATATCATTATCGTCGTCGATTACGTCGTCGTAGTGATTGTGAAAATCCTAATAATTTTATTCACAATGATTATATTGATAACATTGATAATGATGTTAATGATCGTGATATTTTTGGTACTATTACTGATAGTAGTAATATACGTAGTGTTGATGGTAAAAAAAATATCGGTATTAATGTACGTAGCAATCATAGTAAAAACGATGACATTAATATTATTAATAAAATTGATGATAGTAATGATGATATTGAATTTGAAAATAATGATATAAAATTAGGTTCTATTGAAAATCAAATTATTTCTGGTAATAATATTATTAATATTAGGAATGATATAAATAATATTTCATTAAATTATCACCAAAATAATATTGAGCACTTTAACTGTGATCCCGGAGCTAGCAAATGTGAAGGTTCAAAAAAAAACTTAATTAGTAATAACAGATTGGATTTATACTTTAATGATGGTCATGATATTGATAAAAATAAAAAAATAAATGATATTTCATACAAAGATATGATAAAAAATCATAAATCCAATAATAGTATGAGATTACAACATTATAAAAATGATAGTATTGATAAGGGTGATAATGATGACGATAACGATAGACATCATAATAATATTATACATGGCAAACATAAAAATAGTAATAATGAAAAGAGAAAAAAAAAAAGTCAATATAATCCAAACCATAATATAAATGATGTCGACAATGACGATGATCAAGATGGTGGTAATAATGTTGTTGTTCATTATGATGACAATAATATCAATGAAAATGATGACGATAATGAAAACGACGATGATGATAATTACGAGGAAGATGATGAAGTGGATGTTGATGATGATAAAGATGAAGATGATGATGACGATGATGATAATGATGATGATAAACTTGTTCCAAAGAATTTTAAGTTATATGGTGGAAATAGTAGTAGTAATGGTGGTAATAGCGGTAGTGGTAATGGTGGTAATAGATTAGCAACGTTTACATTAAATTTAAGTGAAATGACTGACAAAGAAGAAGACTGCACTGTGAATAAACAACAATATAATAGATTAAAGCACATGATCGTTCGAAAGGATAATAATAAATTTGGAAAATGTAGGTTTGAAAATTGAAATTCTATGAAGTACACACATACAAATTTATTTGTATATAGATACATACATACTTACATATGTAATTAACATATTTACATATGTACATATGTAATTTACATGAAAATTTTAATATTTATTCTTAATTTAAAATTCGAATATATATATATATATATTTTAATCCAATTCATTCCGATCAAATTAAAATATTGAAATTAAAAACAAATAACAAAAAAATAAAAAAATGTCATATAATGAAACTGAATACTAAAATTCTCAATATTAATGACTAACCAAAATAGAAATTTTATTCAAAAAAAAATTTTCTATTTAGTTTAAATGAAAAATTAAACATTATACATTCGAATATTTTTTGCTCGAATATAAATAAATATATATATATGTGTGTATATAAAGAACATATATATATATATGTGTATATAAAGAAATATATGTTATATGTATGTAAATCAGGACGAATAATAGTCGTTATAGTAATTATAAAATATTGCACACAATTAAATTATTTTATTAAAATTGGATTATGTTTCCCATTCATTTAAATTCTATCAATGGTTTATTACCAAAACCTAGAAAGAAATGTCTAATCTTAGGATATAATTTAATTAATTTTATAGACCAAATTATATTTTGCTATTACAACTATTTTCTAAGAAATTTTTTATAAAACGGAAGAACTGTAAAACAATAACTGCACAAAACGCAATACTGCATTATCATTATCAATATACAATATTCATTAATTAATTAGAAATCTATGAAATCAGAACAATATCATATATGATTTATTACTGAGTTACTCATAATAAATTTTGTTATATCGCGAAGTATCGAGTATATCGAGTTTTAACTACATATCGCGAGATAATATACAATGTTTATGAAATTTAGGCCTTATTATTTTTTAACTAATTTTACATTCTGTCCTAATATACATACATATTAAAATAAAATGTTTATGTAATATAATATACGTGTATATAAAAATTCACACAAATCAATCATTTACAAGTAAATAGTGTATTGCAATAAAATTGAAAGTTTTACAAAATATATATATTTCTTTTTAATCTTTATTAATATAATTTAAATGCAAATAGTTTTATTCAATGTAATATATTCGTTTGACATGCATGCATATATATATATATATATATATATATATATATATATATGTATATATATTATATCCAAAATTGTGGGTATATATTGAATATTATAGTAAATAAAAAAATTAATTTTAGTAAATTTAATAAAAATAAAGTAACAAATAAAAAAAATGTATATTAACTGGATAACTATAAATTTATGATTTCCTGAAATTGAAAAAAAGCGTCATAAAATCAATATGAGCAGTGTTAAGGTATAATATAAAAAATATATTAAATTGAAAACATTAAAAGTAACATCAATAACAAACAGCAATCATATCAGCTCCAACACCAACAACAATAATATTTTACTAATATCATATAAGAACACTGACACAATGGAATAATACAAACAAAGAAGAATTTATTATATAAGAACTGACCTTCATTTAAAATATAAAATGGATATTCAAAAAAAATCTTTTATTTTAAATAGATAATAATGTGAACAGCGTTGAATGTTCTTTAAAAATAAAAAAAATCTTTAAAAATATGTAAAATTAGAAAAAAAAAGAAAAAACAAAAAAAAAAACCAAAAAATTTAAAAGAAAAATTATAAATTGCCAGAAAAAAAATATCTAAAAATAAAAATTAAAAAAAAAAAAACATTTTTATTTTAATTATTTGCTATTATTGTTATTTACTATTATTGCAATTTGCTTTTATTAAAATTAACATTTTTAATATTAGGTTTTACTGGCCAATTACTTCCTGTATAGAAATGGAAAAAAGGCTTGTTTTTGTAACGTTGCTTATGCTGATCGAGGAATAACTACCAATATTCTGTTAGTCGAATCTGTACAGGTGATGAGATATTATTGGAAAGTATTTCAGTTTTCACAAAGCAATTTCAAATTTTAAAATTGATTTATTCTAAAAGTTTTTGAACAACAACCCATCAGATCAAGTCGTGTGACAAACAAAATATGAGTTATAGGTTTGAGAGATATAAACTGGTATAAGGACATGTTCCTTTTTATAGTATGCTATACTTTATTGTCAAACATAGGTCACATTTACTACAAGGTTAAAACTGAATTATCAAAAATGCAACTGCTATAACTTACCTATTTGTCTTATAGTAGGAAAAGGTTCAGCAGATTTGTCATTATTCTATTTGTCTTACATATGAAAATAAAAACAAAAAATGAATTTTCAGAAAAAAATTTTTCTACTGCTATTCTACATTTTTAAAAGTACTACTTTACAGTTTAAGCAGTTCTTATTAAACATTAACACTGCAGATGATTGCCATTTACCATATCAAGCGAATGATGTGATTGACATGATCGTCAAATTTTTCTCATACGAGTACTGGGAAAATGTTCTTATACACACAATTCAGCAATTGTATTTCATAAGATGAGTTGTGTTATGAATTTTCTTATAATTGTTTTTTGTGAATTTTTCTAGCAATATCGAGTTTGTTCTCAATTAATTTAATAAAATGCTTAAATTTTTTCTGGTTCGTTTTTTTTCACGCTTAAATTAATACTAAACTATCAATATTTTTTACAATAATTGGTAGAATTTTATGAACTTACTTTACAGATAGTTTAGATGTTTCCATTAAATCGCTATAAATGCTATAATATTAAATAAAAAGAAAAAAACACTTATGTATTATTTTGATCTTTGGTTTCCTTCGTTGAGCTTGTCGCACAGAATTTTTATTCGACAGATTTGACGGCTCATTCGACTAAAATTTCATTCGCTTCGCTGGTCACAACAAAGGCCTTAATCCCGTATTACGGCAATTTTTAAGTCAAGAAGTGAGTATTACAGTATAGGTGCATTTTTGAAGTCACGGAGTATGTAATTTGTCTAATTTTTCTTCTTTCTTGTTTTTAGTTTTCAATTTAAAGAATAAAAAGAAAAAAAAGTAATTTTTTTTTTAAATTTTGTATTCACATTGCATGACATTTTTTTTTATTTCAATTTTTTTTTTATTTTTTTGTTTTTTTTTTTTATTTGTATTGTAAATAAATTTTAAAATTTATTTTTGTTTTTTTTTTGTTTTATTAATTTTCAAAATCCTGCAGTCTAAAATTGTTTTGTTTTTTACATTGTAAATATTTTTTTATGTTAATATTTTTTTTATTTTTTTTTTTTTTTGTTTAATATAATTTTATTAATATTACATGTTGTTGATTTAAATCCAATTATTTATTATAATAGAAAAAAATTTATTTTGATAATTATATATAATTTATTAATTAAAAACTTATTTAACATTTCTTTTAGTAATAATTAATCTTATATTTATTCATTTTAAATTTTATACATTCTTATTATATAATAATATTTCAGTTTTGTTTCAAAATAGAATTGAAATTCACAAATAAAATAAAAAAAAAAAGAATTTTTCTCTCCTGGACTGACAAAAAATTGCAGTGTAATAACGGTATTAATAAACAATTCAACACTCCTGTATGAGATGTGTAATTACTGAATTGTATATAACGAAATCATCTTGAATTCCAAAGTGCAATATGGGGTTAGACAGCAATTTAAAAATTATAAGCTGAACTGTGTATGTTACAGTGTATTATTGCATTTTGGAAGTCAAAATTTTTATTTACATTTTTATTACCGAATTTTTTTTAGAGTCACGGCTTTGTTTTTGTTTGGATTTTGTATTTTTCTTGTTTTAATACAAAAAAAAAAAATGTAAAGTGGCTCTCACTCGTACTTGTACAACGAAGCAAAATGTACAATTTGAAATTTTTTTACAGATGAATTCGCACAACATTTTTCTTAATTTTAGTTTTTTTTACAAGATTTGTTATTTAACATTAAAGTTAAATCAAAACAAATAAAAGAAATATTTGTTTTGAAATATATTCAAGAAAAGCAAAAAAAATGCACGCAGTCATATTCGTTCAGTTACGTATAGACATCCAAATTCTTGGATAAATTTAAAAGAAAGTGCTGGACTCTTAAAAATCAAAGAAAGTTTCAAAATTTATCACAAGCAATGTGCTTATAAAACCCGATCATGATTACTATATAATCTTCCAAAAGTCTTACAGACATTTCCCCAATCTCCGGTTATTAATCCGATAAAAAATTTATGGCACGAATTAGACAACCGAGTTCGAAAACATCAAATAACGAGTGTAAACATGCTTAAACCCCAACTAGTGGAAAAATGGGCTAAAATTTTGTCTGAAATCTTAAAAAAACTACATAGTTGAATCGTTTGCCAAACCGATTAAAAAATAACATTCGGAATAAGGGCTATGCAACAAAGTACTAGACTTAGAATTAGATTAAGTTTGTGCGTTTGATAATATAATTAATTTAATGATGCACGAATATGACTGGGACTTGAATTTCTTCATTGAATTTTAAAAAAATTTTGTTTGTAATTTAATTTTTATTTTTGTTTACTACTGTTATTAAATAATAAAACTTGATTAAAATACTTGCAAAGTATATTTCACATTTTCTGTTTTATTAAATAGAATTAAAATATGATTGCTGTATTAATACGAGCGGGAGACACTGTACATTATTCGTGGCTTCAAAAATGCAATATTACGGTATTGATAAACAAGCCTTACCAATTACGAAACTCATAAGCTAAATATTGTGTAATAATATCGCAATAACTGCAATTTTGAAGCCAGGTTTTATATGATAAACTGTGGTATTAAAATTATTATTTCATAATTGATTCAATAATTTTCTCTTAGAAATACTTAAATTACATATAACACTATTATAAAATTATAAATGATGATTTATTTTAATTTAATTGCGTAATTAAAAAAAACTTGATTTAATTGTTTCGCTTTAATTTTTTATTAACAATATTTTTGTTTTTTGGACATTAATTACAATATGTACATTAAAGAAGACCTTTTCCAAAAAAAAAAAACACAAATAATAAGGTTTATTCTGACAGTAATAAAATAAGATAAAATAATTCATTTGAATGTCTCGAATTACTTGAATATTGTGTGGTGAAAATTTAGTATTCTAATATGGTTTTCTGGTAGTAGTATTTGCAAATGGGATAAAAAATATTTTTAGGTTGGTAGCGTTAACAGTTGATGTGATGTCACAAAAAAATTTAAGATTGGATGAAGTGAAAAGTATTTTGGGTATTTGCATATAAAGAAAAACAAAGAAAGTTTTAAAGCAATAGTTAGTGATTTTTTGAATCCCTTGCAACTTTCCACGGCATTTCAAAGAAATATTCTAGTTGTCGAAGTAGAGCGACAATTGTCGTTACGACTTGAATTTGATATTCTAAGTGGCGATCGCAGTGACAATCGTCGGGGAATAGCGGGAAAATGTGTTTCAGCTATATTGCAGTTGTCGTTCTGATGCGAGATATGTCGTAGTGAAACGACGTTTTTTGTCGAAAAGTATTTACAAGTGACAAGAAAGAAGGATAAACCAAAAATGCAAGTTAAAACAAAACAATTTAACAAAATCATAAAAAAATTAATTTTATACATAAATCAAGTCATAAAATATATAATTTAATTTTTGTTTTTAGCGTGAAAGTATTTATAAATTTGAAGAATTGGAAATTTCATGACAGAGCACGCCTTTTACTGGTACTTGTTTTTCCCTCGAATATATTCAGTAAATATTCAAAGGCCTCCTTTGTAAATCTGTAGTAGTTTATAAATCTGTGAATAAAATAAAATGTTTGCAACTAATTTACTAGAAAAAATTTTGCAAATCCAATGGATTAGAGCTGTCGCTAATCTTAAATCTTTCGATCCCTAATTGTTGTTTTTTTTTAATTTCATCGCTACCGGAATAAGATGAATTCGTAAACCATAATGCAAATGACATTTTTTATTATTTAAAAATATAAATATATACACTGAAAATTTTTTTTAGTTTGAACTTTACTCGCCGAAATTTCTTTTTAAAATGTATCAATTTCACTTGAAACGTTTCATTTTCGATTATTTCTCGCACTCACGTCACTCGACAACCAGAATACCACATTTCAAATGATGTGATAGCGACAACAACAAATGTCACGTAAGTGACGCGACAACTAGTATAAGGCTCATTATGTAAAGAACAATCTGGTCTTAGAAAAGCGCACTCTACGGAAACTTCTTTGACTTGGGTCTTGAATGAGTGGAGAAAGGAAACTGATGGTGGAAAAATGATAGTAACTGTTTTTTTAGACTTGAAAAGGGCTTTTGAAACCATCAGCAGAGAAATATTGATTAGAAAATTAAAGTCGTATGGGATTCGAAACAAAGAATTAAGCTGGTTCTCATCATACCTAAGTAGCAGATCTCAAAGAACGAAGTTAAAAGATGTATATTCTGATGCTAGATTTCTAGACCTAGGAGTACCTCAAGGAACTATTTTGGGTGTAGTCTTATTTTTATTATACATAAATGACATACAAAATTCATGTGTTAATTAATTCAAAAGTATGTTTGTTTGCAGACGACACATTGACTTATATTGTTGGGAAAAACGCCGATATAATTGAGCAGCAAATAAATTCTGATTTGGATAATTTACATAATTGGCTGTGTAGGAATAAATTAATGCTGAACACCAGTAAAACAAAAGTTATATGTGTGAATGGTGG